TCCTTGTTAACGAGTTTGTATTTAGGCCTCATGTTAAAGTGTTCAAATTGAATTTAAGTACAATAATATTGTGCACTTTTGCATCAGATATGATGCTTCTTCAGCACTTTCGGACTTACTATTGACATAACAATTTCAAAACAAAGTGGTTGAAAAAACAGAGACGGACCACTAAATCAGGTATTGGAAAACAGCCTAGGCCTGCACTGTCTTCCACCAAAACAGGTCCTGCAGCATCTAGCAGTCATGCTATAAGGAAAAGTCCCACATACACGTCATTGGCCCTCGCAGAGATTAATAAGCCATCAGAAAATGGTAACATGTCTTAAAAAAAAGTCAAATTCACGAGTGCAAAAAATTGAAGCATGTACACAGAAAACATTCAGAATTTTTCAACTGGTCCCGTACATGTCGGGTGTGTGCACTGGGTGTCAGGTGATGTCCGTGTGTGGAACTCTTTCCATGCTGTTTAGCATCAACAAGCATCATACAAGTGTCAACACAACCAACAAAGCATCAATAACTTGAAAATACCCTCTAGAGATTCAAAAGCGGTAGCATCATAATAAAGGGACTCTAACATCTGTCATTGTGTAAGGTAAACAATGATAAAAATGAACTTTTTCAAGATGTACGGGGGCTGCCATCTTTGACCGTCCATTTGAAAACAAATGGCAGCCGGTCAGGCTGCACGAGCAGAGCCGACTTGGTCGCTCAAATTTCCACACTCAAATATCATTTTAGATAAATGTGCCCTTTTTCATACATCTAAATATTGAGAAAGCCAATATACCTAGATACGCTGCCTATATTCTTCCACTGCTAAGCTTTGGCGCATTATTTTGCGTATGACACAGATGTAAATTGGAGGCCCAACAGGACGTACAGTTTTTCCAGTTAAGACTGAAAATGTCTGCATGTCAAACACAGGGGGCTGTTGGACTGAGCTGAATCCTTGGAACACACGATGGCTTGCTGCAAAAATTGACTTACGGTACATGTATGCATTGCGCGCAAGACATAATTTGTTTGCACTTTTAATAGTAAAAGCTTAATTAGAGTCTCCTTAACCATATGCTGCCGGGAGCCCAGTTTGGGGCACATAGGCGAAACCGGGAGCCCGAAACCTGACAAAAGAGCTGGGCCTGAACGTGATGACTTCTCTAAAATGGAACACTCTAGAGCTCTGCAGGATTCGACTTGGACTCACTGCAATTTACAAGGAGATACACAATATTACGCCATCAAATCTGCAAAGCACTCGGTGGAACCAATACCTACACCACAGGACACAATACTGGTCCCCACATCATTAATCCCCCAAACTCCAACAAACTAGGGCTGTGCTGAATATCCAAATATCTGAATCATTAATTATCAAATATTTGAATATTAGTTTCCTAATTTGAATATCTAAAGGCAAAATTCATGACAAGGAAGGGAGAATGTTCTTTTGTTTTAAATTAGAAAAGTTGCACAATGGAGGCTTGTTTCAAACAGATTCAAATGAAAAGCGACAGAAATCTTACAATGATTCAAAATGTAAATTACTCATTAAAAAATTTAAAAAGGAACACATCTTTTCAACAGAGCAAGGATTATTGTTGGTCTCTTAAATTTTACTAAATCGTGGCTGGAGAAACTCCTTGATGTTAAAACTATTATAGCGATTGTAATGTATAATTGTGTGTGTTATTGCAACTGATTTTATACATGTATATGGTTTTTTCATCAAAAGTCTGCCGGTTGGTACAACCGAATATTCGGATATTCGATCAAATTAAATGTCGATCATTTGAATAGTGAATCATTTGCATTGACTAAGCCCTACAACAAACTTTGTTACCAATACTCTCTCTATCCGATAACACTAAGAGAATGGCACCTACTAACTCTAGCATACGATCTGCTCCTGATGTTAAGACATTCAAAAGTAGGATTTTAGCCGCTATGTCCCTCAATCCGACCTGCGCGATAATCACCGAGGAGGTGTTTGGGCAGTATAGAACCAGAACACCATAGAAAACAAGCCTTTTTTGCCGTAGGCTCTACATGCCGTTTAAAAGGGCACAAACAGGGATTTTATTCTTGTTGCGGACAAAGATCGCTGCCTGTCCACATCCATGTGCGGCCTCAATAGAAAGTGTTCACTGTGCAACAGCGGCTTGTTGCTCCTGCCTTTCGGGGCATAAATAACGAGGAGCCCTGCGATTGGTCAGTGTGACCCCCTGCACGCCGCAGCCAACTGCCATTTCAACCATTCAGTCCAGTCGCAAGTAAGAATTACACACACACGTACAGAAAGCAGCTGCAGCAAATTTCCATGTTCTGTGTATCGGTCACAGATCTCAGCGGCTCATCTTCGCAAGTACACATGTGAACTGCATGACTCTCGGACATTGATCGGGAAATATTTGCACCTTTTTTTCTGAAAATCGGCATGGTTTTGGCCCTTTCATCTTGGTACAAAGTACATGAACTTTGTTATGTAAGCTACCATACAAAGAACACTTAAGGGGAATGAAGCAGGATTTCTATGAGTACACAACTGGAATAAAATCCCTGTTAGTGCCCTGTGAAACGTCATGTAGAGCCTATGGCGAAAATGGCTTGTTTTCTTAAGGCAATAAGGGTTCATGGGAGTGCGGTGGACATTGGACCCCACACTGTTCTGGAGGTACATGTACATGTAGCTAAATACTAGCCTAACTGACTAAGTACTAAATACTAGGCCTACTAACAAAAAATCACGACCGAATGGAAATGGTGTTATATTTCAACATGGGCCCTAGGCCTACCCACCTTGTGATGCAATGTCAATGCCATTGCCTATTGCTATTGGGACTCAATCAGTGCCGATGGCAGACATGAACATGATGAAATTTAAAAAAGACAACATCATCTGATCACGATATTATTAAACCGCGATTTTTATTTCACGATATTCCATTTAGGGAAAAATGGATATTGAACCAGCCTACTACTAGTACTGACTACTGGCAATCAAATATTTAGCCCCAATTATACATGGATATTGACGCTTTAACGTGGTCAAACAGCATCACTCGCATCTCGACTAGGCTTATTTCATGTATTTCCGACACTTTGCCAACATGTCCCCAACATCAACGATGTTTTTCTGGCAACATAGTACACGGAGTACATGAATTCCACACTTACCATCATCTAACAGGTCGTCCATCGAACAGAGTGTCTTTCAAAGAAGTCTGTTTTTCTTGTGATTCCTTTATGTTTGAATGAAAAGTTGACACAGGTTAGATTTTCGACTTCTATCCTGCTCGTCCTAAAAATTGTTTCACACTAGTTACCCTGCAGCCCGCTGTGATGTGATACGGGCGGCCTCTTTGTGTTACATTTGTTAGTTTAGAAGAACGCACACAAAGTGTGACTCGCGGAAACCAGACTAAAATCCCATCTTTGGACGCAAGGTGGCGCTCCATGTAAACGAAGGGTAAAGGGTGCAGTGTCCCAATTCAAGGAAAATTCTCCGCGAGGACGAGGCGCACAAAAAGTACCCCCCCCACAGATTCTTTCAAAAAGAGGGGTCTGTTTGGGCCAAGGAATAGTGGGATTGTGTCAGTATGGCCCAGAATCAACTCTGTAGATTCAAGAACACCCATCTGGGGGCAATGCAGACAAAATTGTGACAAAAAAATTTGTCAGAAGAGCCTTAAAAGGTGAGGGATGTCATTTGAAAAATGGTCACTGGGAACATTCACTTTTTTTGGGGGGGTGAGTTTGTTTTTGGCGGATAATTAATAAATTCATTGGTTAACCTAATAAAAATTGAAAATCAAATGAAATCTGAACGACCAAACAACACATTGTTTTTTGTTTGAGAGGCCTCAGGGACTTCAGTTGCCTGCCATGAGGCTCCAAACTTGGTTGATTTTACACTCTTTTCAATGGAGTGCACCCTAAAGCGTTTATGGTTGCACTACACCAAGTACGCACAAGTAGAGAACAGTGCAAAATCGGACCGAAATAGCGCCGCCTGTTGACTCTTGTGAAGGGGTTGGCCTCCGTTTTTTCACTGGAAATTGAAGATTATGGCCAGAAGATCACCTTTCGTTTCAATTTCATGGGGGTTAGCCATGAAAATATTTTTTATTCGCCTTTGAACGAAGATACCCCCAAAATAGCAATAAGACTTTGCGCTCAGCTCTAAATGTAGCCGCCCGCCTCTATCCAAAATAGACCCGCAATTTGGGGCGTTTTTTGAAAGAAATACCCCGGACTGGAAACTATTAGTCCCAAATTCGGGATTTATAGAAATGTTGCTATGATCCCTCCTGATTATGTTAGTCTTATTGTAAAAAAAAAACCCGTGGGATCACAAAATATTAATGAGCTCGCTCGCAGAAATACAACCATTTGGTGGAATGCACCCAGCAGACCAGTGGTAAAAAAAGCTGCCACTGGCAACAAAATCCCCCCCGCTTAAAAAAGCAGGAAAATGCTCCCAAGTTTCTCAATTGTTCAAGACACATATTAAATTAAAGCTTACTTCCTCATCTTTCATTTTCCTTTCAACTGTCACTGGCTAATAAACAGTGACAAGAAAAGGGTCTCCAACTCATTCAGTTATTTACCGTCTGGGCCATAGAGGCAGGAAAAGATGGTCTGGACATTCACTAGCTCCAAAAGCCTTATCGCAAATACTGCTTGGGTGATTTTGCACAACGGTAGAATTTTAGGCATTGTGGGAAAGAAAGAGGGCATGTTTGCTCCTTTATCCTTTCCACAAGATTGTACAAAATCACCCATGCAGTATTTGCGATAAGGCTTATGGTGTGGACATAGGCTGTGAAACAAAATCATCAGGTAGCCTAAATACCTTGGTGTCACTCTTTCATCTGATACGAAACGGAATCGTCATACAGATATTATAGACATCATCACAGCTAAATAAAGGCAAAAGTGTGATTGGGTTTCTTGGTAGAAATCTGTGTAATGCTCCAATTCCGATGTGATAACCCAGGCTTTGTAGCTCTGTATGGGCTCCCTATACAAAAGAAATATGTGTACATAGACAAAATTGAGGCTGTTCAACGCAGGGCTACACGTGTTATTATTTAAGATTATAACAGGACCAGCTTTGTCTCGGAATAGAAAGGTCCTTGCTTTATGGTCTCAGCAATGCTAAACCACCTCAGGCTACAGGCAGAAGACAGAATAATTGCTTAGTGATGTTCCATAAAATCAAGTACTGTACCAAAACGTTGATAGGGCATAGGAGATTACCTCAGTACGAGAACCTCCTTCGAATCACGCACACGAATGACCACCCGGAGTTGCAAACCAAACCAACTATAGTCATAGCACAATCAACGTCGCAATCCCATCTTCATTCCTTTTCCCCCAAAATGGCCAGAGAATGGAAGGACTTACCAGAACAGATCACATCGATGAGCAATTGAGATTTAAAAACTCCTCGTATCTCCAGTTGCAGATATTACCGCGATTATTTTCTTATCTTGCTGTCGACAATCAATCCGGATTAGTGTGTATTATGAGATGTGATGTTTGTCATGTAAGTTTCCGAGCTGGGCGTCATGATATTAAGAGGGCTTCCAACTTAAGTCTAGTTGCTTTGGTGCGTTGATGACGTGCACAAACCATTGTCGGTGTCTGCGGCGGTTCGTCATGTTGCTGAGACGTGACTGGCCTTACAACGGCTTTTCGTCACATGTTGACGGTGACGTGAATCATCGCTCACCCTTTATGAGAGGGGGCATCATGTAGACACTCTTGGGAGGACAGCGATGGGATTCACCTTCTGAGCGGTCGCAGAGACAAATGGGAACGTGTTGAGAAATAATTGGGGAAAATTAGGAAATAAACATAAGTTCGGGACTCTTTTATCAGACTAGGGAGATCTTATAGGCATTGCAGACTGCAGAGTTGAACCAAACGGCCGCTTGAATAACTTTATCCTGTGGTACACTCACTCCTACGGGAGCGTATAAAGGCCACTTGCAACATTTTTTTCGCGATACTATCTCGCCGCGGTGAGACAGTATCTTCAACAAGTTTTTTGCAAGTGGCCCTTATACGCTTCTGTACTCTCCAGTTTTGAGTTGTACAAGTCCAAAGAAAATTCTACGTTCACACTTGTGAGACCCTTGATGCTACTTTCTTTCTTCATTTTAATGAGTGAGAGTTCAGATGCATCATCTGCCTTAAGTGTAGAAAACAAAGTGGGATGCTATTCCATTCAATAACGGATCATTCAACCCTCGCCGATTAGATTTTTTTTACACAACGTTAATTTTTGTAGCAGTCATTTGGGGGTAACAAAATGATTGCCAGAGGCAAGGTGACAAATAAGAGCTTGCTTTAGGGTGGATGCGTCGCAATACCGGCGATTCACGATAGTACACCGCCAAGAGTTTACAACGCGTTGGCCAATCACAACGCGCGACATCTATCGACCCTTTCCACATGCGCATTCTGAAATGCCCGTATCCATTAGCAGCAACACCATAACACTAAATATTTAATGTAGCATTCGACTAAAGCCGGTAGAGGATGATTATAAAGTAATGAAGACAGACAATACCTTTTTGGTACTGATTAATACTTAACACTTTGTAACGGCTATTTGAGGTTCTTTGAACCTCGACCATGATGGAGAAAAACAAGCCGAATATACATAGTTGGGTATGTTCACAGATCAGAATATGAACCTGTCTCCAAATTTGGTAGTGTCTACGACAATTTACCTACCAGCAGTAAAAAGAAAATGACACGTTCACTTCAAATTAAAGTCAAAGGAACATATCTCAATACAAATTTGAAAAGTTTCTGGTTCGTTGATCATAATGATGCTATCGCTCGCTCGCTTGGAGATAAAAATAAAATGGCTGTACCACAATGTGGCCTTGACAAAAAAATGAAAATAGACATTGGTCAAACTGAACATTAGTTAAATAATCGTTAATTTTTCCTCCCCTTAGCGTTTCTAAGGCTTGTCTCCTGCGTCTAGTTCACAGGTCAAACCAAGGAGATGGGGGGCGGCGCAAATTAGGATTTTGTTGTAAGGATGACTGTCTAAACTTTCCACAAAAAACTCCCTAAAAAGAAAGGTGTTGGGACCGTTTCTAATATACTTGTTCTTTAAACTCCTAAAAACAAAAAAGGCAACCTGTCTCCCTGCCCCTGCTGGACATGTCGTTGGATCCAACCTCAAAACCTTATCTTAATAGCCATTACTTACTAACGAAAACGATGACATAGAAGTTCTTATGAAAAAAAAAAAGATAAGAGACACACGCATTATTACATTGTAAAGTTTCTAACAAGATGAGCACGAGCAATAATTCATTTTTCCTCTCAAGTAACACTGACTGGACATTCTTGGCAGTATATGAGGTATATGTTCCCTTTGTGTAGGGTGTGCAACCAGATGCCAAAGTACCAGTAAATCGTTGCACTTTCCTTGGACTTGTTAAGAGCTGTAGTATCTAATTTATGTCGGTTAAGCAGCAGAAAAGAAAAAAATCACAAGATGCAATGACCAACTTTCAGATTTTTTTTTCTTTTTTCTAACATTTTATTGCAAATTTTTGTTTAACTGACAATAAATACTATAGCAATATATCAACAGCATGGCATCAACATCAACAGCAGCAGCGGCAGCATCAGCAATTATATACAACAGAAAGAAACAGTCGTTACTGCAGTAACACCAACAACATGCAACAACTGATGAAAGTCCGTAAGCAGCAGCAGCAGTGGTATAGCGCTGAAACACAAGTCGAGGCAAAACCGTTACCAACCGACCTACCGACTTAACGTAGGCCTTCCGTTGACCAGACTGACAAATCGGCAAACCCACCCACTGACTGACAGCTATGTAGGGCACACTTCATTTTGGAAAATGTGAAGTAACATTCTTCTTAGTAGGTTATTCTGTTTGTGTGTTACAGCTACCGTCTCTCGTTATTATGTATGGTGTGATCTATAAATCAATACAATTTGGTTTTTAATCTTGAAAGGTTCTTTTTGAATCTTTCTATGATTCATTTTACTTCCTTCGAAGATAAAAGTCAAAGATAAAAACAAAGTTTTTCGAACTATTCACATATGAGCACGATATTCACGAGTGCACTGTTAAGATAAAAGAAAAAGTAGTTACAATTCTTTATTACTATTTACAACTTGTTGGTTAATGCCAACTACGACAAACTGAAGACCCAACCTAAAATCAAATCATTGCGAGCGACGGTATTTCGATACATCATTAGTTCAGCTACGAAGGAAATACGCGCTGGTACATGCACTGCAGTCGAAATCCAAATTTTCCATTGAAAACACCATTT